AATGACAAAGATGTTTTTATTTTATTTTTTTTTATCAGATAAGGCCCACTGAGCTCTATAGCTCTTTTTCAGAAGCGACATGGCCACAAATGATAGCACAACAAAGTAGCTTATCATGTGGAAATGTATAGCCGCGAACTACTTTAATCGCGTGTTCATTCTATAAATGTGGAGGGAAAACGCAGAGGGCCTGGAGAAAAATCCACGTGACCACGGGGAAAACATGCAAACTCCAAATATACCGGTGTCAGCGTTTGGATCGAACCCACGGCCTCCTGCATACCAGGAGAGGGAGTTAACATCTCGCCACGGCGGCTCCCCAGGTCACGCAACTCAATGGAACAGACGACAGCAGAACTGTTGTCTGTGACCCTATTAACCGCGACTATAATGTTGGTTCACAGATAATTGCAAATTCCTCCAATTATGCTTGACTACGCGCAAAATATTCGCCGCAAATAAGTGAAGTAAATGCTAGGGATAAATCCCACGAATAATAAGATCCATGATATTGGCCCCATGCCATGAGGAGTTCTGTATATGAAAAAACTGGGGATTTTGTCTTTTCCCATCTTAATTTAAACATCCCAATTGTTTCTTCTTCCGACCCACGGCTCTCCACTCCTTCCCAACCTTCATCTACCCTTTCGTGACCCCTAAGTAATCCTCGATTGCGGTCACTCATTCCTCAACCCTTGCACGACCGTGCCATCTAAATCATTCCATTTTGTCCCATTTTTTTCTGATCTACGCAAAACGCCTTGAGCGAAGGCGCCCTATAAATATAACGTAAGACGAAGAAATTAATTTTTTGTTGTTGCCGCCAAGAAAAGACTCGCCAATACGTGCAGCCAGACGGCGGGAAAGAGCTCCCACTTTTAGACGCCGATTCTATCGGCAAAACAGAGCAAATGTGCAATTTCATCAAAGGCACGGTGCAAATAAAAAAAAACAAATATCTTGCCGCTAATTTAATGGGACCTCGATGTTTCCGCGGGAGCGGTCCAAGCGGCACATACAGCCAGGCGAGAGCGCCGCCGCGATGGCTATCGTTGATTAATGACGCGGTGAATGTTTAGTGCGTCGTGCCGCAGCGGTGCAAGAAGCCTGGCACAATTTCACTGCTGCTCTGAAGTCCGTGCAACAGAAGCTGAATTATTATTATGACGATGACATGAAATATGACCGCGCGGTGGATTTACACACGTCGCACATGTGCGGTGGGATGGGATAGCCTGAGCGGTCAGCAGAATTGCCTCCGAGCCAGTTTGCACGGGTCGATGGTCATGTACCTACAGTCGAATGTTTTCTTGCCGAGAACGCCATCCGCCGTGAAATATAATACGGTAACCATTTAGTCACGCCGGGTTGAGTCTCCATGATTCCTCTTGTAAACGGTCATGATTTACAAAGCTAATCACTCCCCTTTATAAAAATGTGGCAATTTTATTTTCTCTTTGAAAATCGGCACACGGTTAAAGGGTTCAAAGCATCGGCAGCCTGCCATTTAAATCATAAGATTCGAACAAACTGTGACCCTTGCATAACTGTGTTTTAAAAGATGATTCGTGTAAAACTATTAAGACAAATAATAAAGTAACTTTCTCGTCGGTGATTGCTTTTGCTCAATACGTCAAATTTGTCTTTTCATTATACACGATGCCCTTTGCAATGGTGAAACATCCCATTGTTGTTTACAACTGCAGCCCTTTTTAATGACAGCCATTCACCAAAACATGTGACAGGTTATGTTTTACTCACAAGCCCCAATACTGGGATACAGCAAAATGTAATCTGTGAATTTGTGGTTCCGTGATTTTGCCTTGATGTATTCAACAATAATAATTACATTTGTGAAGTGCCTTTCATCCAGAATCTAATAACATTGACTTTCAGACCGCAGTCCATTCGCTGGTACTGCCTCTTAATATCTTTCACACGACGGTCAATGGTATGGTTTATAGCTTGTTGTATAACAAGAAATAGTATAACAGTGTAATGTTTAACATAATTCATAAGGCAATATATAGTATCGTAATTGTATAGTGAATATACAGCAGTGTGGTATACAGTAGAGTTGGTAGAATAATACATAGTGTAATATTACAAGTCTAATATTTTATAGTCTAAAGTATAGGGTGGTGTATAGTAACGCATTGTATAATTCAAGGGTGGGGTTTGTCTATGGCAGTGTATATTATGGTATATAGTCGTGTAATGTAGAAAAAAGTTTAGTTGGAGACATATCAATATAATGCATAATGTTAGAGCTTACATTGGGTTGTGTATACGATATTATACAATGTAGTTTAGATTGGAAGGTATAACATTGTAATGTATAGTAGTCTAGTTTATAACATAGTATAACATAGTTGTAACGTAACACAGAGCAGCGTATCGTGGCTGTTTCTCCCCCCTCCTCCGTTCCGAGCACAGATGGACTCTTCCGTCTGAACAAAGCTCGTCGCTGTCCGTGGTGCTAACGTTGAAAAAAAAAAAACCGCCACCCTTTTTTCGACATAGAATTGTAATGTATAACGACTTATTGTTAGTAGCTCAGCTGATTGGAGAGTATATTGAGTTTATTGATAACATTGATGTAGTTTATATTTTAGTTTTTTATCAGTTTACTATATGGTATTCATTATGTAGTGTAGTGTATACCCAGTTACTTTATGTTAATAGCTCAACTTATTGAAGAATATATTGAGTACATTTATTATATTGATGTAGTTTATACTTAGTTCTTTCACATCGGCTTATTGTATGATGATAGTTGGGTAGTTGCAGTTCTTTAGCGTCAATATACTAAATGCATCTATAGATATGTAAACTCTGACTTTAACATAGCTACTTCCGTGACCAGTTACATGCTAATCCCTCACACTAACATAATGCTAATCTCCCAGTTACATGCTAATTTCTGACTTTAACACCCTGCTAATCCAACACTTTAACACAGCTATTTCAAAGCTAAATTCTTCTGTTGATATGTAAACTCCTTTGTCAAGGCGCTCTGCTTCTCCCACCCAGCTTAAAAGACGCTGCGAAGCTTAGCAGTGTTCATTGAATCGCTGTCGTCCCGACAGTTCTGTTCCTTCACCTGAAGAAGGCTACTTGTGTTGTGGCCGCAACGTCGTGAGAATTTTATTTTATTACGTTTGATTTTTATTATTATGTTTCCATTCTACGTGACTTTACCGAAAAAACCAAGAACATTCGTCATCAATTTGGGACAGTTTGTATTTAACGGGAGGCGATGGCAACACTGAGATTACTATGCAATTCACAGTTCTACAGAGTGTAGCATCACACACACGAAACACACTGTAACCAATAATACTGGCCAAGTCAGTGAAGCGACTGATTGGGTAATGTGGCAGTGGCATTGCTGCTATGGATTTGTATGTATGTTGAACTTCTTTTGCACCATACGTAGCCAACCATGCTAATCGGAGGGGCGGATCTACATTGATGCATGGTGCATCGGGTGGAGCTGCGCTGGCAAATCATCAGATGCCCGCTTTAGGGCAAAGGTCCGACACCATCTGCGTGTTCTCAGAAATGAAATAGTGACCTGGGCTCACGGAATTAATGTTTAGTTTGTTATTGGCATATCACTGACAGCTTTTGAGGTGTATTGGATGTGTATGTAAACACTGTTTATCGCTTACCCTGTTTGCAGGAAGCCCTGGTGTGAGTTTCATATTAATAAACTGTTGCTTTTTGTTGTTGCTGTTATTGGTTTGCACATATCCCTCCCTGCAATGTCCTGTCGCTTTCCACCACTCCTCACGGTCTTAGGCTGTGGCCTGTGTCTCTGTAACTCTATATGCAACTCTATGCAACCCCGTAGCTCTCTCTATGTAACGCTATCTAACTGCAATGTCCTGTAACTGCCGCCACTGCCTACTGGACATCTGCAATTTGTACTCTTATACTTTATTTATTTAGTGACTTGCTTAGCGTTCCTATACTTTGCACTTCTATCGGTCTTTGCACTGTTTGTTGTTGTAACTTGACCTGCCCCTACTGGACATCTGTGAAAAAAGAGCTTCATAGCTCTTCGGATTCCTCCTGCAGTCTGACTAAAGATTCTGGTTCTGCCGATGGTCTTGCGCTGTGGGTCACCTTCGTAAAAAAAAATCCGCTTAGCTCAACGTACCCTATCAGCTGAACAGAGTCTGAGTCTGAGAAATATGGTGCGTTCATTATATGTTTATCGTGTTAGTTTGTGGATCAGCCAGACAACCCTTTTCTCTCTGTTCCTCTTATTATTAAACGCGTATAATACTTCCACTGCGTTAGAACTGGACTTTTGACACTGGACATTACCAGTATACACTACTTAGAGCATAAGAAACGTAATTGTCCATCTGTGTATCATGAGGGCCCTGCGCTAGCACTTCTTAGATGTGCCATTGGAAAGGGGATATTCGGGACTTTCACCGTATCCTGGAAACACTGAGTAATTAACAGACAGCTCTTCGAACTGGAACCCGTTGAGTTTGTGCAAGAGGATCCAGGTGTTCAAGTTTGCAAATATTCTGAGAAAAGCCATCGCAAGAGAAACTTTTGAACGCAGACTGGAAACAAACACAGTCGACAACATGCGGAGGTGTGACGCAGCATTGCGTGTGCAAGAGCTCTCAGCCTTACCCAGACCACCAGCGCGACAGCACTGCTCGCATGGCTATTTTGTCTTTTAGGACGACCGACTCAAAGCGTCGAGAAAATGTGGCCATCCCAACAATGGGCGGCGGTGAAACAAAGGTTCGGTGATGTGGGGCCTAGCAAAGATGCGGTGATGTGGGGTCTAGCAATGATGCGGTGATGCGGGGCCTAGCAAAGATGCGGTGATGTGAGGTCTAGCAATGATGCGGTGATGTGGGGCCTAGCAATGATGCGGTGATGTGGCGTCTAGCAATGATGCGGTGATGTGGGCCTAGCGATGAACGCAATGACCGTGGCTTCTCCTTTGTTTTTTTTTGGTTCCGCAGACGAAGGAGTTCTTTAGTGATCATGTACGAGGTGGGATCAGAAACTACTACGACGACCTGGATTTTAAGAACCTCATGGACTTCGTGCAGGAGGAGGTACGTTTCGTGACTGCCGCGGGGCCGACGAGTGGGTTAAAACGAGTTGGGATGCATTTCTGCGCCTCCCTTGGCGAAACGCTCGCTGATGTGCGCGTAGAGCAGAAGAGGAATTTGCCGACTGAAATGTTAAAAGGGGTATCGGCCAGACGTGTTTTAGCTGTAGGCTATCACACGGTGTGTCCTAACTGAATAACAGCAACAATGTTATTTATTTATCCAGAAAGGCATCATAGTCCAAGAGTCTTCTATTGATACCACCGCGGTTACTCTTCCCCTGAACGTCACATCGGCGAATCCTCAAACCCGTGCTGAGAATGCGGTCTACCAGACACTGACTGTTTTGTCTCATCTACACTGTGTTCAACCACCACCACCACCACACTCACTCACCCACTCACTTGCTCACTCACCACACTGCAGGTCACAACAACACACTCACCCACTCACCCGCTCACTCACCACACTGCAGGTCACAACCACACACTCACCCACTCACTCACCACACTTCAGGTCACAACCACACACTCACCCACTCACTCACCACACTTCAGGTAAGCAAAATACACTCACTCACCCACTTACGAAGCACACTGCAGGTCACACCAACACACACCCACTCACTCACCTGTTCACTCAACACACTGCAGGTGACAAAGCCTTTGCTGTTGTCGAACCAACGTTTTGGAACAACCTAGTTGCCTCCCTTAACATCATAAATCTTCCTTCAAAATACAATCTGAAGCAGAATATTCGTGCCGGATACAACCACATTTGCCAATGTGATTTGGAACGTTGATCCTTACCCATGTGTCGACAGGGAAATTTTAATGTGCAGTTTTATTGTGGGACCGTGTGTCGTTGTCCTGGTATGGTCTGGGACTGTTTTTGTTTTATTTTGCTGCCTTGCCCAAGATTGCATTTGGTGTTGAAAAATCGGCAGAAATGGATGTACTTATGCAATTTGTCTTGATATTTTTTATTTATTTGTCTTCATATTTAGTGACTTGCTGAGCTTTCTTATGCTTTGCACTGCTACCGTGCGTTTGTATTGTTTGCAACTTTCTGACCTGCCCCTACTGGACGTTTGTGAAAATAAGAGCTTCATAGCGCATCGGATTCTACCAGTCTAAATAAAGATTCGGATTCTGACGTCACGAACAGATTGCACTTCGCCACATTCACAATTGGTCCACTCCACTGGGTCAAAAGGTCAGGGTCTCTGTAGCTGCGTGATAATTATCTGGGGCATTATCAAACACTTCGTGGTTGGTAGCCCATCTTGATGACTTAAAATTGTAATCGAATGCATTGCCTTGTCACCTATTCGAGGTTATTAATCCATACGAAAGACCAAGAAGACGTATTCGAGATTCGAGAAAATACGAATTTAGCGTTGCTTAGAGTTTTATTATTGATGTGCTTGAAACTGAAAGCCATTTGAAAAAAAAATAAGTCATTGAAAAAAATTATCATTAACGCCAAACTGAAACTGAAAGACTGGGAAAATTGCAAACTAGAAATGGGATTTTGTAATTTAATCATAAGTAAGTTACGTGGCTGTCACTATACTTTGATTGCTGTGATCCACAGGAACATTTCACGGTAAATGCCTCATTTTGGGTCATATGCCACAACTATATTTTGTTATGCTAGACATTCAAGGGCATCCGGGATAGACTCCATTATTTTGCGATTTCCCGTATATAGAAAGGGTTATGTTAAGGTTGTAAAAAAATACATTGAGATAAAATCTAGCAATAATGTGCAGTCCTTTCTCAATTCACCGCGCAGGGATTGACGTCGGCGTGTCAGGGCTAGGGACCGTCGATGCTGTGGGGACCACAACGGAGGACCGTTACATGTCGACCAAATTCTGACCGATAAAAACTCCACCACCGCCTCTTCCTCATCGGTGGCGGAAGGCTTCTCGACCGAATTTAACATCGACGTATGGCGACGTTTTCGCACAAACTCGGAAATTGAGTGAGGCTGCTTCATTGGTGAACCCGAAACATTGTGGTTCAATGCCAGTCATTACCGCAGCACCATAAAGTGTGAGACACTAATTTTTGCTTGTTAAGAGTCTTTTTAGATCCGGCTTTCAAAGTAAAATGTTGAACTAAATGGCCATGTATTTAATTACACACGTGGTGTTTTGGGTCAGCATTTAGCTTAAAAACTATCCATTTAGACAATGCAATCACGCGGCTCATTTCAACCGTTAAGTGCGTAATGGCTTTACCGATCACAATAAAACTCACACGAACCTTTAAAGCGCACTCACCAACATAGTTGCACTGCTGTTCAAGTCTCGCTCGTCTCTTGTATTTTTCACGCGAGATGAAACGTTGCCGCACAAAATGCGTTCACATTCTTGCTTGCTCCGACTTAACTGCTCGATCTCATCGCCTCGCAGTCCTCCTTCCCTCCACCCGGGTTGAACGCGACGTGATCTCTCGTTAATTTCGCATCAACGCGTGCCGCAATCGCCTCCCCTCTGCGAACTCCATGCCCGTGGTAACTTTCTGCTGGCTTGGCACCCTCCTCTCTCTCTCGCTCTCCATGCGAATCGACGGCCAAACACCATCGGGCTGTGTAACGGCGCGTCGTACCATCGCCTAAAATCAGTTCTTGAGGATTTGTGCAAATTGCACGGTGGTGAATATTTTTGGTCGCCGTTGTAGGTTGGTGGGGAGAGTGATTTTATTGTTAGTGCGGTAACTGGTTCCCATGTCACCAGTCGAGACCTCGTTTAAGTTTGTAAAGTGATGAAGGAGGTGGTTTGCGTTGTGTGGAACGGTCTCGATGACAATTTTGGCCCGAGGGTAGTGATCCCCAGCGTCACATTTGGCAGCGGGGTGATGCAGTGGTGCTAATTTTTCCTCACAACAAGGAGGGTGTACGTTCGATTCCCAACGCTTGCACCTATCTGTGCAGTGTTATATGTTCCTTCCCCTCGTTCTGCACGGGTTTCCTCTGGGTTCTCCCGTTTCCTGCCACGGTCGAAAAACAACATTCACACAATGCCTTAGAAGAGGTGGGAGTACCCACACTTCACCCCACCACACGTGGCTACCAATCAACTGTGGCCTACCCGTTTAAACTGCCGCGTGGGCAGTGGTAGGGACGGGGTGGGTGCGGGGTGGCGGGATTTAAGAAATGTGTAACACTTTTTTCAACTGAAGATATTTGGAGAGGCAATCCACGCGAAGGTTATTTGACGGCTCGTTTCATGCGCACATTTGCGAGAGGGCTTGGGCCATGCAAATGTTCTTCTCTGGAGAGTGCCTGGCTTCGAATTTGGGTGGACTACCCAGGGGACGGGCCTCTGTGGGCTTGGCCTGAGCAGATAGTCCCGTGAGCCGCCCAGCCGTCGCTGAAGGGGGGTTGGAAATGCCGTGGAGGTGCGAAATACAACAACAAGGCCTGGAGGTGGGGGGGGGAGAAAGGAGGGATTCAGTGACGGAAGGAGTCAGGGCATAAACATTCTGACGATGGTGGGAGGACGACGGAAAGTGTGCAACGTTCGGCGAGAGAGCGATGGAACATCTCACGTGTAAAATAAAGAATAATATGATAATGTACTGCCCCTTTGTTAATTAATTGCTGGAAGTAGGCCACCCCTCATTATGCCAGTCATGGGCTTTGTTTAACTATACTTCACCATGACGGTCAGCATGGGCTGGTTGAAGGTGGGGGGTGGGTGATGTGAGGACAGGTTCAGATAATCGCTCGCCACTGATGTTAGCCGTGGCTGGGAGTCAGACTCATGATTGCCGGGTTCAGAGTGCAGCACTAACCACTGCACCCACCTCTCCCCTTACCGCATTAAAACAGCTCAATATATAAATAAATATTTAATGAAACAGAAACGTCTTCTGCTGTTGGGCTTGAATTTCGAGCGTTGTGTTATTTTACATGAAATCTTTCAATATTTGCCTCCTCGAAAAGTCGTCTGTCTTTATTGATCACTGAAACATAAAAGCTTCACTTGATCACTAAAACCTAACCCGTCTATAAACGGAGACTTGTCCTGCAGATGAAAATCCAGCTGTGATCTGTGTGTTCAAGCACCATGCGGTTAATTGTGAGCGGTTATAACTGTTCACAAATAAACATGTAAAACACTTCGAGCAGCCAGAGCAATGTTTAGCACACTTTATTACTATTTACGATTTATTATTTCACCAGGTAAGGTCCACTGAGCTTTATAGCTCTTTTTCATAAGCGACCTGGCCTCAAACGATAGCTCAATGAAGTGGGTCATCAAGTGCAAATTTATAGCAGCCGAATACTCTAAACGCTCGTTATATTCTAAATGTGGAGGGGAAAACCGGAGGACCCGGAGTAAACTCCACACGGCCACAATGAGAGAGACACGCAAAGCTCCGAATATACCGGCGGCGTCAGGAGGGGGTCTGGATGGAACTTCACAACCTCCTGCATACAAGGCGAGGTAGTTAACACCTCGCCACAGCGGGGCCCCACACCTGCCATGTAAATCCCATAACCTGAGCTTGATTTTCACGGCCATGGCCCACATCAGTGGTTCGTAATGTCCGAAACCGTTCCTGGGCCTCCCCCCCCCCCACCACCACCCGATTCACCAGCCTACACTGACCAGCGTGGTGAAGTTATGGTCACACATGACGGACACAGCACGGGGCAAGGCCTTCATCGAGCAGTGGATTGACGCAGAACTGTGATGAATACAAGATGTCAGTTCAAACTGCTCCTCGGTTTGACAAGCATAGCACATGGTACGATCAAGGTACATTGCTATTACACCAGGCTGTGAGTCTGAACGAAGTGGCACGTCATGTTTATTAATCAGCCCGTACGCTTTGGAATACTGTACTTGATAAGGGTAATTTCTTACGCCATACAAAAAAGGCAGTATCGCTTATTTCTCCATCAGCCACACTGCAATAAGTGGGACAAAATCTGCATGTAACAAAGTTCTTTCATTCCGCCGCTCACTGACAGAGTGCAAGCAC